CTTTATACAGTTGTGTGTTGCTGGAGCATGGTTAATTTGTAAAGATGCTGAAGTAAATCAGGAAAACATGAGATTGGGATGGAGAATTCTCCAATTTAATCAATGTTTACAATTTTTGGGCAACAGTTTCTTATTATGTAAAAAATACTCCTGTAAAAAGGTGCCTGGGAAGTGAAAAAATTGTAAAAATGTGTGCATAGAAAAAGTATAAATTTTGAATGTGCTTCATGTGGGGTATTGTGTGCACATGTCTGTGCACATATATCATGGTATGGCCTTGTTCACACGGGCGGCAAAGTAGCAGTGAAACAGCATGGTTGATCCGCGGTTTTACTGCCTCCCAGCCATCCACTGCAATAATAGCACTGAGGCCGAACAGTACTGTATACATTGCCGCGGCCGAGATGCATTTAATATATACAGAAAGTCAACATTCACTTTGATGAGTGAATGAGTCTGCACGCCATTGTTAACCGCTTGCCGCCCACCCGTTGTAAATAAACGGACAGCCGTCAAGCTCCCTCCAGCGGGGTGCAATAAATATACTTCTTTCTTTTTCTGCTTGCACGTGCCCCCTAGCTCGCTCACAAGCAGAACACGTTGACAGGTGTAGACGGCTCTTACATATACAACCATTCGGGCGGCTCTATAGCTGTTCGATCGCTTGTATGGTGACCAGCAGTGTTTGCCCCCACCCCTTTCAGCACCGCCTTCACCCCCTTCACCGCCGTTACCGGCTATCCCGGGCTCCGCTGTTCTCTCTGCGGGCCCAGGACCAGCTTAACGGCTCTCTGCATTAGGATCGGTGGGAGATTAGCACTCTCCCACTTGCTGATTACTCCTCCGATCTCTGAATGCGTAAGTGGTGTGTATTACATCACTTCCGCATTCAGCTTCATCAGCTTCCTTGGGGGTCCCCAGGTGACATTAGGGCTTTGAGACCCCTGATTTCTCCATAAAGAGGACCTGTCAGTGTGCCTGTGCTATCACATAGGGGGCTTGTTATTGCTGTGATAGCAATAACATTAAGTGTAAACAAAAAAAAAAGTAAAACAAAAATTAGAGTCACATATAAAAATGTAAAAAAAAAACTTTTATGTCCCCCGCTACTATGTGTATCCTTGACTATCCACACAAAACTGACGATTGCGCTGCACATGCTACATATCACTGCAAACTATAGTAATTTTTCTTTAATATAGTAAAAAAAAAAGAAAAAACCCAGTGGTGATTAAATACCACGAAAAGAAAGCTCTATCTGTCCCCAAAAAATTGTATAAAATTAATTTCAGTACAGCGTTGCATGACGGAATAAATGTCAGTCAAAGTACTGCAGCGCTGAATACTGAAAAATGGCCTGGATGGGAAGGGGGTTTAACACCCCGGTCTTCAAGTGGTTAAATCAGCTCCAATGTGCCTTACTGAAGAAATAAACTTATCAGCTGCTTCAGGGCTTTCAATCTTTAGGTGTGGAGATATGATGGTTTTCTTTTAGGAATTTCAATAATTAAAACTCCACTTTCATTAAAACATTAATATAAAATATATCATCGTTACACAAACCATTTTCTAATTTTGTGGCAATAAATTGCATTTTCATGTCAGTCTGCAGCTAGCTATGATTTTCTGAACTGGCAAAAATTGTTTTATATATATTGAAAACACTGTGACTGATTACGTGATTATGGCAGGCAGACCCTTCCAATTAGCTCTCAGGAAATAGGAAGAGACTGGAATGCATGTAAGGGTGACCCTAGACTTTTTGCTGCCTCAGGGGTTGATGGTGGTGCACATTACAGGGAGGCAGGGTGTAGGTGGTGCTTGTTACCTCTGGCTCCGGCCGTCGTCCCACCCAGCTCACTGACATCTCTGGTTGCCAGGATCTTGGGTGGGGCGCCAGCCAGAGCATCCCAGGTTTCTAAGAGCTCATGTGACTCAAAGAGATGCTACCTAAGGC